TGAATTCACCGATACTGATAGTGAAACTGAGAACAAAAGGTAATTGTATTTACCCAATAACATCCGTTTTTAATCTCACGAGATTTACACTAAGATGTAAACTTGTTCATTTCCAGAGAAGCGGTCTCGTACGAAGAATATGTAATGGGTGATATCGAAATTTAATGAAAGTAAGAGTTTCTTGTCATAATTACCAATTTTGGTCATATTTTGGAAACATATTTTTGAACATATTTTTGGTCATATGTAATTACTTTTTGATAAATGAATTGTATGAGCATATCCGTAAAGATAAATACTATTCCAAGCTCAAGTTTGTCATTTGATCATGCTGTTATCGAATGTTCAGATTTCATTTGTGTGCTATGTAGACTGATGCATTATCGCGGACAAGGCATTTAGTTTATGACTACATTCGTCATTTCAAGTTTCTCACCTTTAATTGAGACAAAGACTACAATAACAACGTACTTTATATTGTGAGCAAACACGTTCTTCTTTTTTTGTGTATGGGTGGGGTGTTTAATTTACAAACGCGAATAATTGCCGTTCTATTTGAGTGCTGTACATCTAAAAAGACTCGCTAACATATACTCTACAAACGTTCTCATTCTATTCAAATCATCTGTATTTTTACTCCATAACACCGACTTCTATTTTCTTCCTTATAATGTCGTAAACTCTAAAGTCACTACCTTCCAATGCTGCCTCGATGTCTTTCAAAGACTTCTTTCTGCAAATACTCTTCGTAACTCCATATACATGTGCATTGTCTGATATCCAGTTCTTACACACTTTATTGTAATTACATAATTCCCAGGCAGTCGCATATGCACAGCGTTCCTGCTTTTTGTTCTTTTTACTTCGCGTATTATTGCTCAATTTCCACGCATCCATGAACGGTCCAATGTTACATTTCATCAAGTATATCGCGAACTTGATCACATCCAGATCGATACCAGACGGGAAGAATACGGCGTAAATTCTCTCCGACGTTGCCATAGTGACAAGACATGGCGCTTCGCTCTTATTTTGTTGAGAATAGAAACCAGAAAATGACACATTATTCTCAGGCTGTTTATGAAACTTTAACAGTAGTTGGGCAGGAGCCATATATAAGTGCGAATTTCGATCGGATTCTCGTAAACTTTGGAAAAAGCGTTTCACTTTTTCAAACAGACTCGATTTTCTCGTCTTTTCTTCGAACAACTCTTTGAACGTTTCCATCTTTTCCTGTAAATATTCGCTTGCTGCAGGACTTATAGGATCAAAGGATTTGGACGTGCATTGGATGCTTGATCGTGCATTTTCTTGCCCTTCTGAATCGTTTATTACATGCAGTGAGCCTTCCCACACCAGCTTTTTTATAGGCAACACTTTCGAATGAGCATAACTCCGCGGGTATTCGACAAAATACAGATTAGCAGCAATTATATCTCCAATAGTTGCCATCAACATGGTGAACTCTGCTTCGCTCCAATGTTTAACTCTGCTTCCCAACAGCCCACATTGAGCAAGCCCCCATTTAATAATGATATCGATAAACATTCGTTGGTTCCCATGTTGATTCGAATGCATTGCTAGTGCACGTAAAGGCCCTTCCTCCAGGTATACTAGTTTTGGAGAAGAATATAGATCAGGTAACATTTGATTTACCTGGGATGAGAGTTGATGCTGTACCCAAACAAGCGCGTCATATTTGTATACTTTATTTAAGATCGAGACAAGATCGTCGTGTTCTGTGAGCAAAGTTGGACATTCGAGGAGTTTGGCGGAGAGGTCCCAGGCAAGAAAGGTTAAGTCTAAATTTGTGGCTGTTATGTACATTTCTAGTAGCGTCGGGATTGTGAAGTCTATTGCATCAAGTTCTTTGGCGTAAAAATATCTGGTAATGCAGTCAATTAATATTGTCAACGAATCAATAATTACGTAGAATATGCAATAGTAATAGAATATGCGAAACTTGGCCGCACCTTTGCATTCTGCGTTAAGCCGAACCGTTACATACCTAATCGTCTTCTCAAACACGTCGGGTTCTATACCGTCGACTTCTATAACCTTACAGCCGCCTTCCTTGGCTATGTCCGCACCTTTTACCAAACTTCGGAAATGTCGTGATTCTTCAACCAGTTTCGACGAATCGGCAAAAAATGTCCCTACGTTCATTTTATTCTTTACGCGTATCTTAATATCTAGCCCTATGTCCCGTGACCCTTTCAATCCATTTTGATCAAGACGGATGAACGGTTTTCCTTGTAGATATGATAGAAAGGTTGATTGTCTATTAAGGGTCATATTAATGTAATGAAAGATAAAAAACAGAGCGAGGCGTTGTATGTTAGCGCTGCCGCCATGTTCGGATCAAACGGCGTTTTCATAAGACTGTCTGCACATACGCCACTCGGCATTCCAACGTGTTACCCGACAATACACAAAGAGCATAAATAATAAGGGGGAGCTAAAAAATTGTTAGTCGCTTGCTACCCTCTTTTATTATAATTCGCCTTCTTTCTAACATCTGCCTTAGGATTCTTTTATTTATTCCGTTATTCCAACCTTGGATTATTAGCGATTTCAAATTAATAAAGCGAAGCGCAACTTGTATAAACTCCTTTTACTGAGCATGTTGTATTAATAATTGAACAAACGTTCAGGTAGGTTTCCCGTACACAACATCACCTTGAATTCTAATATGTCCTTTATAATAGGGCATGCTGCAACATTACAAATATGGCTGGTGTATCAGAAAGTTTACATTCCATTCCACTTTAAAGCAGAAGAACAAATGTGTCATTTTACTTACTGTTTGTATTTGCGTGTCTTATTATGATCGATGTGACTGCACATTAATATGCTAAAAGACGATCTATTTATAATAGAAATTTTTTTGTAGCAAGTAAAAAACGTATTAGTATGTACAGTCAGCGGGTTACAGTATTGCGATAATAATAATGGAAAAATACTCGTCGAATATTTTTCCCCCCAAAATTGTGTAAAACCCATTGTTTACAACTAAGGTGTTTTATTACATTTATATATTAATATCTACGTATTGTGAATATTATAATATCATCAACGGTAAGCGAGTTTGTTCTCACGAACCAATCAATCGATTAAACGGATTACTAAAATACGAACTTATTGATGAACCGGGTTAAGCCAATTCGCATACCTTTTCCGTGATCGAAGATCTGATAGAAGGCCTAAATTTGAGCTTCCTAACATTTTGCGTAGGATGAAAGCGGCTAAAAGATATGATCAACCTACTAAAACGTCCAATGATTTTATTATTTTTTATCAGCCAGTACTTATTGCATCAAGAAGCAGAATATGTAAGCAAAAGTACTAAAAGTACCATTGTATAATATAAATTGTGAGCCTATCAATATGAGAGGGAAATCTCCTGAACCGAACCTAGTTTTATAATAATTCGTTTCGCTATAAGATAACCAAATATAATAAAATGTTTTTCAAAAGTTTGTAAAGTCTTCTTACTCTCTATAAACGAATTTTGTTAAAAAAATTGTAGAGGTTTTAGACCGATCCGACAACGTCCTTGTAACGAGTTTTAACACGTACTTGTGTTTCTTTTTTTGCGTTTTCTCGGACAAGCATTTTCAAACAATAATACCTCT